AAAATAAAGCTGGCAAAAAATTTTTGTCGCTAATTTTTTTCTCTCTTTCTGCTATCAGTTTGCCAATCTCGTGATTTTCTTAATAAGCGCAATATTTTATCGCATCCAATGACCGTTCAGAACCAGTGCTCCTCTTTGTTTTGGTTGCAGCATCAGAAAGTCGATTCATATGCCCGTTGTTTATCACTGTTGCAGAGAGAGTTACCCTCCCCCCGTCAGATATCGTATGCCTAATGCATAGTCAGCTGACCGATGGTTCGTATAAAAGACTGAAGGAGCATGCTCTTCTGATAATGGCCAGAAGTTAATTACACCCACTGAACTGTTGTTTGGGACGCCATTTGCCGGAAAGTACTGGACAGACTTGTCAGTAACGGACAAAGAAAGGACGGTATAAGAGGATCAGTTAGCGCTGCTGCAGGAAAACTGTACTGATTCTTTCTTACGTTACGTAAGTGGGCAGTTTGCATAATCTGTACGTACTGAATAATTCGCCCATCCTTTGCCGCTTGTCTTCGCTGAATCCTGTTGTAATGTGCGCTTAACTGTATTTCACGGCTTATGGCTTCATCTCCTCATTTCCAGATGCCTACGGAGCCAGTTGAACAGGTCTGACTGCATTGTGTTCAGGCATTTATAGGGATAGATGTATCTCGCCTCATTTATTCGCTGCAGCATTGATTTACTAACGACAGTTGTTTTTTAAGTTCGCACTCAAACACATCTAAAAGGGGTTTCGTCTGCCAGGAGAATGTTGATTAGAAAAATTCGTTTTCTTTCTTATATTTAAGTAATTGCAAGTACGTGAAACTATATTGAGAGAATGTATTGCTAATGGTCAACGACTGTCGAACGGGTCTACGACGACAATCTGTTCTTTTTAAACCGGTATTTGCATTTCGCGATTAAAACGTTTATGAATTGCTTTTTATAGATGTCTAAGAGCTTCGGCAACTTCGTTGATCCTATGCTTGAGGCAAAGTCATTAACCGTGGATGGTGTGCGATACTTTCTTTTGCGTCAGGGCGTTCCTCAGTCAGACAACAGTAACCTCGAATAACCTGTTTTGAATGTTTCACTAACTTGAATTCAGATTATGCATCGTCGTTGGTTCGCCAAGTATTGAACGATGAGTTGGCAAACTGTATCGGAAATCTCTTAAGCCGTTCAACTGCCGCTGATATCAATCCTTCTCAGCGTTATCCAGCTTTCGACAAGGCCTTATTCGATGATCAGTTTCTTGCTGCCGATCGTCAGTTCCTCAAGACACTGGAAGCCCTCCCAGGTACGACTGCGGTCACTGCCTTTGTTGATGGCAGTATTTTCGTTTTCGAGCATAGATTTGAATCATGTCCTTGTCGCGGAGGCTGATAAATGATTAAAGTAACTAAAGTACAATCGTATGCCAGAGGGTAGTTAGGTGGAATGTAGTCTCCTTAGTGGATGTAGTGACCTATAGTTCTTCTCTTGAAGCCTAAGAAGTCGAATGGTCGCTAACAAGGCAGTGGTAACGGCAAACAGCATTATTTTCTTCCTTGACTGGTTAATTGCTTGGCGACAGAAAGGCGAAACGTTTTCATCGAAAGTAATCTTGGCCGTTCAGGTCTAAAGTATCAAAGCTAGTAACCATCAGAACCTTGTTTATGAGGTATGCTGCCCACATAAATGCAGATTCTTTGATATGGCGCCAGAGAAAATTCCACCGTTTGCGTCCTCCTGTACATCTAAGCTTGTTGGCAACGAGTACATTCAGTGACAACGTCGCTACGATTGTACAACAACCACCGGTGTTTTTCAGTTTATTATCTGAGGACGTTTCGTATTTACATGTTCGATCGAGCTTGCGTCCCTGAGAAGAAGCTTTTTGATCTGTTATGGCCAACCAGTTTTCACAAGTCGCAGCGTCGATTGCAGCAATGCGGACATATTATTCATAGACTGAAACGCAAGTAAACGGGCAGAGCTTTCCGATGTGGTATGACCATTGAGCGAAAGCCTGCCAATGATCTGGACGGAAAAGATTATAAATGCTGGAACTTCGCCGTAGGTTTGAAGCCTCCTATCAGCTCCGTGCATTTTCTTAACGGCAGCTATGATTCATTAACGACCTTACTTAAAGATCATATTCATCAGTCTTTCTCGATCCACTGCTGGGTGAAGGCCTCGCCCAGACTTTATCATAAGCTTCTGTTTTCTACGATATCTTGATCCAGTGAACTTCATAGGTTCATTCTGTCGCCGACCTTGAGGTTACACCCGGTCTAATATCTCTCTGGTCCAACGATGGTCGGTACTTCTTCACCTTGATTTGCCCATTGCCACTTCAACTTCTTCCCTCGTGTAGTGACATCGCAGACTCCTGTTTGTGTTCTTGCCCATTCCTTCATCTTTGTTATTCCTTTCTTGTTATTCACAATGCATTTTTTCATGCTACTCCGCGTATTCTGCAGTTGATGAATAATTGTCAGGCTTATCGTCCTCGTTTCCCAAAAAAATAATAAATCAGTTTTAAACGGTGCGGGAAAAGTGCTCTTTCAAATGCACAACAATCGGTAACCCCTAAAATTTTATGCATTGCCAATTTCTAGCGACGTACAACCTGGACTCAGACCTTTGCCAGTTTTGTTTCTATAGGAAAATATTATAAGACGGGTCCCCCTATGCTAAGACGGCATGACGAAAATTGAAGAGTGTTTTGCGTTGTCAGTGCTGCAGTTGTGTAGCCAACAAGCGACGTGAATTGTGCTCGTTTCTCTCAGCTTCTTAAGTCATTCAGAATTGCTAGAAACTTTGATTAAAGTGTGATATTTTGGAAATAACTAGCCTTTGATTTTTTCAGACTGACGTCATGGCATTTAGCATTTCCACTGTCCGAGAGTTTAATCATTGTCTTCTCTTAGGCTCATTTCTTTCTGATACTCGGCTAATCTTGCTAAAATACTCCTACTTAAGCGTAACCTAGCAAGTGCTTTCTGCTTGGTTGCATTTTTGAAAAGATTCTCGTAAACCACAGGGCCATTTGTTCCAGTGTTCATCCAGATTTGAAATCAGGAGTATCCGTCATATGTACCAACTCCGCCGTTGCTGATCCCAAGCCCGGTTGAGAAGAGAGGAAAGTTGGAGACCGTGGCGAAGTCTCCGCAAAACTTCCTCACCTGCCACTTATGGTATTGACACCACTGAAAATTATACCGGCTCGGTCATCGCCAGAATTACCAAGGGCCTCACAGGCTGTTGGGGGACTGAGGCAGACTGCTAAAAGTCGGCGATCAGAACCTGCTCATTGCCCTCTGCCAG